TAAAGCATACATACGTATGTACTTACGTGTCGCTTGGATCTGAAAGAAGTGACGCTAACATACGACGACCGTGTTTTGTTCTCGCAGCTTACATTCTTTTTGTCTCTTTCTCCTGCCCCCCTCCCCTTTCACGAAAAGGAAATCATTTTTCTTTTCTCGTTCTCTTCCCTTTTTTCCATTCCTCTTCAGTTCAACGTAAATCTTTTCAGACATTCGCACTTTCTTCTGAAATGTTTTGCAGTTTTAACATTTCAGTTGATTGTTTTCATCTCTGCCGTCAAGTTGTTCACACATGTTACATAGGTAGGTAGACATTCTAGTGCTTGATTTGTTAAAAATTGAAGTGTAAATTTAACTTGAAATTTGATAGCATTATGTAACGAGACAGTCTCAATATCTCAAGGTTTTGAACATCATGCGAGAAAGTCCTTAATATCTATTTGTAAGTTCCACCCTCTGCTGCGAAACTTCAGCTATCTGTATCGTACACACCGATTTTAACCCATTAGTTCTACTCATCTCCATATTCCATCTATCGAAAGCAATCTGAGAATCAACTCATCGATCTTGTACCGTATCATACCGTAATATTCAGAATCACGAGTCAATCAAGTTGGAGTGCACGTATAACAAGTACCCTCGATCACGTCACTCGTTTGACTAACCGATGTTGATTCAGTCAGGGTGAAAAAATATCTAGCAATCAGTCATTACAGAACTGTTCCGACGGAACGATTTTAAGCTCGAGAGAGTTTCGAATAAGGATCAGGCGTGACCGCATTCGGTCGCGTAACTGAAAGGGAAGCGCGCAAAGGTCGAACTTGGGCATTATCCACGCCACGGTGGAACGTGGTCATCGGTGAAATTGTCCCACGAATCTGTTCCGCGTGTTTTATACTCCGAATCACTTCTATCGATTGACACACATTTCGTCCGCTTCCTTTTCTCGTGTCCGCGAACCGTGTAGGCGATGTGTCTGTTCTCCCTCGGTTTCACCACGTTCCATCTCCCTTCGCTTCGACAAAAGAGAGCGAGCTCGCGGCCGACAGGATTGGATCTTCGCGCGATTTATACCGAGCGAAACGAAATTTTGACCGAGTGGGTCTCGGCCGATCAACGTTCGACTCGTTTGATTCGAGCTATTTTACAAAACGGACGAATCCGTTTCGTCGGACTTTATGCAATTTATTTTAAAGTTCAATCAAGCAAAATTTTAGAGAGTTCAAAGAAATCCTTCCCCGATTTTCAAATTCTCGCTTCTGAGAGATTCCCTCCAGTCATCGTTCATTTCAACTCAGCTTTCAAAAATACTTTTGAAAGTTGCCTTTTGTTCCATCAAAAATTGGTGAAACGCAGTGTCTAATTGTGGCATGACTGACAATGAGAGGAAGAATTCCTTTCGAACTTCCACCACTTGCCACTTGTACAACGTAATTCCTTAACCCGTTTCCTGGCTGTAACGTGGCGGATGTCGTCCTTTGTAATTAAAGGTTTTGGCCAACAGGGCACAGGCAGTGGAGAATTCGTCTCTTTCATTATATCCGGTGACACAGCACGTTCCCTCACGAGGATGATGCACAATGGGGCCGGATTGGGAATCCAGGCGACATTTTATAAAAAAATCAACCTTTTCGATATTTTTCTTTTAATACGACTCCGAAATGTCCACCAACCTCGAAATTGAACAGAAATAATAATAATTTTAAGTTGGACATTTTAAAAATCTCGAAAATTCTCGTCAAATAATTTTGTTCTTCTTCTCTGAAGTGAGACAAATAAAATAAAGAAATTATTTTCGTTTCATTTAATATCAAATTTAGAATAAATATTCATGAAAGTCAGAAGTGTATATTATTTTAAAAAATTATATTTTTAATTGTCGTTCATTACTTATTATTTAATAAATAAAAATTCGCCCAAATGACTCGGATGTAATGTAATCGATTATTGCGTTTAACCTTTTATCCCGAATTTTCTTCCACCATAAAACATGATCCTTCTCGATGAGAAATGATTGACAACCACGGTATATACACGATATATCTTTAAAAAAAAATGTAATGAAATATTTACGTCAAATTTCATTGTGACATCTTTTTTACGAGTCGTAATTCAGAAAGTTATTCAAAAATGTCGCGCGAGTCCTCGTGCTCTCACGCCACGAAGTATAAATATGTTTGATCGTCGCCGCGCCATCGTAATTCCGCCGCGGCCCTCTCGTAATCTTCTTCGCAAATAGCTCCATCTTCGTGCAATCGCTTTTTAACTGAGAGCTACAGCTCCTCCAGGTGGCCAACTTCTCTCCACCGTGGCGTGGAAACTCTCGTCTCGCTCTTCGCTGGCAACACTCTCGACACGCGCGACGATTTGTCATCGATGCAATTTGTTAGCGGGAGTGCACGGAAGGATGAAGTTGTCGCCACGTTCGTCGCGACCTCGCAGCTGTTGCTACTACGAGTAGTAATACTCCTCGTGAACTCGCACACCCTTCCTTCGGTACTTTCCTTTCGCGTCTAATGGCCGACGTTTCTTTGTTCTGACGTATAAATAGGACGATTTGTTTCGCCGGCTTCACTGTTCGGGTTGCCGCCTTTGAAAATTGTGTCTGAACGGTGAAGCTTCTTCCTCGGCGGGTCGGACGTTTTTCCTTCGACGAGATAATGCGGTTCTTTCTCCGACCAAATTGTTTCAAAATGGATGGTTCCTGTTTTTCTCTGCGTATAATTGCAGACCGGGTGCAATCAAGGGAGAATGACTGATACGATTGCATTTTCTTTCTCGAAAGTGGAACAAAGATGAGATACCTGCGGCAACATGCACATTCGAAATTTATTATTATTGAATCGAAATAAATTTCTTTCAAAATCCACGAACTATATTTCTCGGTGGACTTTTTGCGTATTTCGAAATTTTTCGTCGCTCAATATCCAACGATTGAAATTGAAGCGGGATCTCGATATTCGTCAGCGGAGATGATCTTGGTGAAGAATGCAAGCCAGCGTTTCCAACTGTCAGCTGGCTGTAGGGATTATCTCGTTTCACGTATCGTTGTTTCCTAAAAGTATTGCGGCCCGTAGCTTCTCCCTTAATTCCTTTCGTTGGCATCCATATGGAATTCGGTGATTAATACTTCGACGTGGGATATCTCCGAATAGAACATTGAAAAGTATCTCCGTTGACTATGCCTGATTCTTAGAAACGTGACAGAATTTCTATACACTTGTGTCATTGATGGCTAACTAGTTTCATTACTTTAGTATCACTTGTGTGTTGTACTTCACCGAAAATACATATAACTCTTTTCCTCTTTTTTTTTTTTCTATTACGTATGTCTTTAGATAAGCAATTTGTTGAAAAATCTCGTCGTTTCAGTCGTTAGGAATCAGATTTAGAAATAAGTAACAAGATCCATTAAGTAGTCTTCATCTGTAATTTATCGATCGGATATCTCTGAATTGCAGGGACTACGCTGCGAATCAAAAGCAAACGGGATTGAGCTAATAGCATCGTTAGCCTTCGTTTAACTCGATAAACAACCGCCGCCTGTACAACGCGAATTCAGCAATACGTCCCAGAGATTGGACTCTAATCCGCTAATCCGTGTGATTCGCGTTTCGTCGTGGAAACGAGGAAAAAAAAAAGAAAAAAAAGACGACGTCTCATTAACGAGACCGTTCCCTACCGACTTTGAGCCAACCGTCTTCTCACAAAAGACATCTGAGAGCACTTTGGTCAACAATGGACATTCAACGATCGTGGTTAATTACCACGAGTTCACAACCGTTGAGGAGGATCCCCTGTCACACTGGCAATTGTGTCAAAACTGCTTTCCCAAGGAGGAGGTCCCACTCGAGGGCCCAGAAAGTACGTTTACTCTCCGTCGAGGAGTATCCCGAGTAACCAGATCGATATACCAACGTTTCTTAAGTACTCCATTCGGATAGAAAACGGGCGGATAGACTCGCACGCTGTTGACAAACAGAGTCAGATTGAACCACCAGTTCAAAGTGAAAGAAACTTAACGATAAGAAGCTAACGATTGTATACAAATACAACTGATATCGTGGTTTGAATTTCAACGAGCTGTTGCGACAGACATGATCAGCGTGGCCAGTCACACTCCACGGCCATGACCGAGTAAAGTCGCGCCGATCTGACACGTGGTCCACCATGTTGAACGTAATGGCAGCGGTGACGACAAGCCTGCCCAGCCGAGTGGACCCGACCCCGACGTCTTCCAGCAACACCAGCACTCCGTCGAGCACTACGCCGAACAACGTGACGTCGGTTCCCGTGGAGAACCCGACCGTCGAGAATCTGCCAGAGAACGTGAACGTGTTCGTGGTGGTGATCAAGGGGATCATCATGGGCAGCATAATCACGACCGCGGTTTTGGGCAACGCCCTGGTGATCGCCAGCGTGAGAAGGCACAGAAGGTTGCGCGTGGTGACGAACTGTTACGTGGTGAGCCTGGCGGCGGCCGACCTCCTGGTGGCCATGTGCGCGATGACGTTCAACGCCTCGGCCGAGCTGTCCGGCGGCAAGTGGTTGTTCGGTCGGTTCATGTGCGACGTGTGGAACTCGCTGGACGTTTACTTCTCCACGGCCTCGATACTTCACCTGTGCTGCATCAGCGTGGACAGGTACTACGCGATCGTCAGCCCGCTCGAGTACACGGTGATCATGAGACAGGGGACGGTCGGATGCATGCTGGGCAGCGCGTGGATCTTGCCGGCTCTTATCAGCTTCATACCGATCTTCATGGGTTGGTACACTACGCAGGAGCAGTTGGACTACATGGTGAAGAATCCGGAGGTAAGCCTCTCCTCTTCGTGCCTTTTCAAAGTTTAACTTTAACAAGCGAATTTGCCCTCGACAAACTTTTCTTCTACCATCTACTTAGATCAGCAGTTTATTTACCAAGCATCGTCACTTCCAAGTGAAATGACATAGCGCTGGAAACAATCGTTCGAGTAACATTTAACACGAAATTTTTTTTAAATATGTCTAACGTGTAATTGAGTTACGTAGTTTCAATCTCTGGAAAAATAACATCCTCCGCTCTCTTTTAAACTTTCGTTAGAAGCAGTGAGAAGTCTAGTTTATGTGAATTATATTCCGAACTATGTGAATTATTGTCTCATTTAGGACCGTCTTTAGAAATTCTTATTGTAGCTTTCCATACCATCATACATTGCATCGTAGAACACCAAATGTACACGTTCATTATAATTATGCAATCATAAAAGGAGGATTTAATTGGATTTAATGGGATACAATGTCCCCCTCAGAAGGTCGACTGCGAAGCGTTAAACATCGAGAAGTGATTTCAACAATCGAGAGTAAAGACTCGAGATCATTCACACATTCTCGTCGCGCACGTTCGATCGATCTCTGATCTCCTTAACCGGTCAACGGCTAGATTCCGCGATGTGTCTACTTAATAAGCTGTTCCGACCTGCATACCAAATTGTGACTACTGACAATAATTCCTCGTGGGATAAGAGGATTTGTGCGAGGCATTCCCCCTAATTTGCATACGCATACGTTACCGGTCAAATCGACCAATCACGTCCGTCGTCTGGGCCCATTGTTTCCTCGATTGGCTAATTTGGTTATGCATAGTGGGAACACCGTCGTCGTGGATTCAAAAGTTGCGACGAGATTCAAACCGCGGGACATCGGAGAAATTACGAGAAAACGTGAAAGATCGAACGTGTTGCAATCACTTTGCATTGCAATCGGCAAATCTGGAAATCAATGATTATGGATCGAAAGCTTTGTCCGCGAATCTTTGTCTTTTACACTTGAGAGATAAAGATTCAGAGGTGATGTGTGTTTCACGGATGAAAATTGCATTACGCAAATGGAATTAGTAGTTTATCTAATGGAATGATTCCCGTACGAGTACCCAGTGATAAAAACGTCAAGTGTCCGCGGCTGTTTCGCTAACTGGCTAGACAAATCCAATTTAAACGGTATCTTCAGTCGGTTGTAATAAAGCGAAACCAGCGTGACATGGAGGAGTCGATGCTCCATTTGCAGTTGGAGTACAATTGGACGGGAGAATCGCTATCCACCGGTATTAAATTGCCGTTTCAAGTTTTAATGAGCGTTCCGGAGTTTCCGAATCTGTGCGCCCAAAGATTTCTAGATTAAACGCCCGTGGTAATTTTACAAAAAAAAAAAAAAAAAAAAAAAAAAGAGAGAATAGAAAGAACAGATCAAGAATAGAACAATTACGAACGAGTAAACTTCTCATTTTGTCTAACGAGTTGTCTCGGTAACTTTTCATCTCGCAATTTCGTAAAACAAATGCCGTCACTCTCAAAGTTTGAAACGCCAACTTCGTCGTTCGGGTGTTTGCCATTACGCGGATACAACGCAAGTTAAAAATAATATACGATGCATTGTTTACGTAAGCGCGGGGAAGGGTTTCATCTGATTATGCACCGGAGAATTTAATATAAATTCTGCATGCACGACAGAAACTGTCACTGCGAGGCGAAATTGAATTAGAAAAAGAGCCCTGCCTCGCCGCGCACGACAAAAAAAAAAGAAAAAAAAAATCGAAATCCGAAAAACGAACAACGCTTTAATTCACGTTTCATTCAATGTGCCAATTTCGAAAGGATGATTCGAAGGTTTACTGTTTTAAACGGAGAAGTTTCGCATTTTTGCGATCAATGTCCAAACGGAAGTTGAAAGCTTTTATTTCCGCTTTGCTGCAGGTATTGTAGAACGAGCGTTACGCGATTTCGTACGGATAAATATTTTCGCCGATCTTTACTAGCTGTTAAATCGCGTTATCGAGGCATCACGAGAGATAAAAGCTTTTATTTCGTTGAAGTATCACAGAACGGTGGAATCGAATTCGCACGCGATTGAGAGCTAATAAGTTTGTTCGTTTTAATTTCCGGAAAAAACCTGGTGTTCTCGTTGTTTCCGGGCAATTTGCTCGAGCTCGTACTTACAAAGAAAAATAACCTCGAAATCGACGTTCCTGCACGTTGAACTTTGAAAAAGAATAATTTAATTGCAATTGCTTCGAGGATATCGTCAAAGAGGAAAATAAATTCAAGCTTCCCCTCCCTTTTTTTTTTTTTTTTTAATTGATCTAATACACCTTTTATCATTAATCTGTAAAGCTGATGGTGTGTGGCGTTCAACTCGTTAAACGAACGTAAATTTTTCTCTTCTCGTTCGAGTTTTTACCGTAACATCTCGAGCTGCTGGCTTCGAGATATTGGTAAGCCGAGTAACGAGTTTACTTGTCTTTCCTGGTTAACAAGTTAATAGGCCACGGTGTAATTTATCCTGTTCGTTATCCCGAGGGGTAGCTGCAAGCCGGAGGTGGAGCGTTGATTATGAGATATAGGCGACAGCCTCATAAGTGTGCTGACTCTAGGGAATACTCGTTGCTCGGGAACACTATGCATAAAACTGCCATAGCACGCGTTATCTCACTTAAAATAAAACGAAGAAGTATTCAGTTGTCTTGCAATCGTGCCAGTTTGGTCACCAGAAAGTGTGCAATTTTTATAAAATTATGCGACAGAGATCTTATCTTGGCTAATCGTCGTTAGAAAGAATATTCTAACAAGTGCTTTGCAAGTCGAATATATTTCTTCGCGGACGGGCAAACATTCGCAGGTCTGATCAGTTGCCTCTCAGACATCCGGCGTGCTTGAGGGTAAAATCCCTGTATCGATCGGGGGAGAAGGGAGAGAGGTAAAATTGCAAGGGAATTGCATACAGCGTATCCGTGTCGTTGCAGGTCTGCTCCTTTGTGGTGAACCGGCCGTACGCTGTGATCAGCTCGTGCGTCTCCTTCTGGATCCCTGGCCTGGTAATGATAGTGATGTACTGTAAGATCTACAAGGAGGCGGTCAGACAGAGAAAGGCGCTTAGCAGGACGTCCAGCAACATCGTGCTCAACAGCGTGCATCATCACAGGTCCTCGACCAGGCAGCACCATCACCAGCAGATGTTGCTTCAAGCGGCGGCCGAAACCGGTGAGTTTGCACTATTACTCGTAATACGTTTTAACGCGGGCGGCACCGCTTCCGGTTTCTGTTCCGGTCTCACCGCCAGGATGGATACGTCTGACCGTTCTCACGGCAAAGTCATCTATATTCTCTGACACTCAGTGTCGTTTCTCTTTCTGATAATCATTTTTTGTACTTGTTGAATGAACAGTCTTTTTTGATAAGATGATGATGATGAGTATAATCAACGTAGAACATCGCTCGTAATTATTCGAACAGTTTTCACATTGTTACATTGTTCTTATTTTCTATATAGTTACTGTGGCTTTCGTTGTCACTGTAACAAATATTGTTTCATTGTACTACAATCGTCTCTGTTTTATCACTAAAGAAGTACATTTTTCTACTTGTTCTTATTTTCCATATTGTTACTGGTAACAGTTTGTTACTGTAGCTTTCGTTATTACAATAACAAATGCTGTTTTATTGAACTGAAATCATCTTTCTTTTACTACTAGAGAGATACATTTCTGTAGGAATAAAGTAAAGGGAATATTTTATTCCACGTTGTTAAATAAAGTTGGAAAATAAAGTTTATTGAAATAAGGATTGACAGAATAAAAAAGTGTTAATGTTGCGGTAACAAAAAAAAAAAAAAATTTTATTAATTACTCTCTGTATTCACTGACGATTCACAACTCTCTGTCTCTACTCTACGAAGTCTCCACTTTCTCTGTTGGATTTTTTTACGACATGGATTCCCGAAATCTTCGTGCTGTCACACATTCATGCACACAAAACGCTCGTACCTTTAATATTTTTGAGTCCTAGATCTAGGTGGCTAAAATAAATATTCCTAGGCCTTCGCTCCAGATGGCGACAATTGTGTCTCGTCGTTGGGCACTGGAGAAAGTTTCCCAACCCAGAATTCACCATCCCACATTTTTCACTCGTTTTTATTGTTCATATTGTTATTTACTAATAATAGTTCCTACATTGTTAAATATTGTTACTGTGGCTTTTGTTATCACAGTAACGAATGTTGTTTTATTTTACTACAATCGTCCCTTTTTTTTTTTACCATTAAGGAGATACATTTTTTATTAATTATTTTCTAACCCGTGTCATTCGTTATTCCATTGTGATCTCCATTGTATTATTGTACTCTTTGCCAGTCAGGTGTGTCTCTTTCCAGTGCGACGTTTACTATTTCACTGAAGCTTTCACTATTTCATTGTGTTATTCCACTACATTACATTATTTTCACCGGGTCCTCGCAGTTATAGCACTGTGAAATAATTTCATTATTTGCTTATGTTCTCGTCTATTCATAATGTTAATACGATCTTACCTGTTTCATTAGTATTTCAATCGTTATTTCAGTGTCCCTCACTGCATCCATTAGCGAGCCCCTGGTACTAAAACTTCCTTTCCCTTCACCTTCTTTCAACTGCTGTAGCACAGTATTACAAATTGATTGAAAATCGTTGATATCTTAAATTTCAATTATTCATGCATCGTCCATTAACTCTTGAATAACAATTACTCGTTCGAATAATTACGAGCGACGGCGCGGGTCTCCGAATTGAGCTTTAGCTTGATATTTAATTGAGAAAGTGATAAATAGGCTCTGACGTTCGGGTTTGTAGGTCGAAGGCATATCGGTCTTCTTTTCGGGAACTTTGCGCTATCAGAAAGTTGCAAACGAGTTTTCATAGGGGATATTGTTTAATTTCCATCGGGCAATTAAGCGATTGAGGTAGTCGAAGTATCTGGATGCTTTTCAAGGCCGTTGAAGAGCTTCCACTTGGATAACAAGCGAGTTTCCTCGGCAATCTTCGCTTTGAGCTGTCCTCGAGATAAATAAATCAATTTTCTACTGCCACGCACTTGTACTTGATTTAAATTTTAATTATCCCGTATCGAAGCTTAATTAGATTATGTATGAATTTCGTTCGAATTGCTAATTACGCGCAAACATCCCAATATCAATGTTTCTGTTCAACGTTCATATAGAACAAAATTCTTCTTTAACTTCTGTTCCAAACTCGCAGACGAAATCAAATTGCATCGAAAAGCGATTCTTCCTGCGATGGTTTCATTTGCGTGATTTCATCGGTGTCTTTCAAAGTAATTACACGCAGTGTATAAATACCGATCGTTCCCGGGCATCCGCTCGAACCGCGTGCGTTGAATTTCACTGTATAATATCGATAATTAATTGCAAGGGTTTCGAGTGGTATCGGCGTGCCGAATTTCTGTTTCATCGAATGATTAATTTTTGGCCCCCGATAATTAGCGGGGCCGCTGACGATCGAACGGAAATATTCGGTAACACCGAAAGCACGTAGGTGCGTCTCTCCAACTGGTGAAAACTGGCGCGAGTGTTAATTAAAATTGATTAAAAAAAGTCTCACGCGGTACGTGAGAATTTTCTCGCCTGTCCTCCGCGTCAGAATTTTTTTATTAAAGACGACAGAGGAGTAAATTAAGGACAATGATTGCCTCATAATAGCACCGACGAATGGAAAGGTTCCTCTGGAAATCCGAAAATCACATTTTCCAGCGAATTACGTATTTTTTTAACGTCCGCTCGTCCTTGAAAATGAAATTGCCACTAAACGATTAATTAAAAAAAAAAAAAAAGAGCCAGCTCGAGATATTTTTGTGAAATCAATGAATTTCACGGGACTGATGCCACGCAGATTCCTACTTTCACAATTTAATTATAATTTGAAAAGTTTGCCGGTAGAAGGGAAAGGCTTTCACTTTACTTTTATATTTTGTATATTTTATATGTCCCTGCGTGTTACAGGGAATTCTGTGCTTTTACGCAGTGTCGAATCTTCTCTCACGAACGTATAAAAATCCGCAGTTTATTATCGACACGATCCGACCGTGCGTGTGCTTCTGAAAGAGGCGATAATTTCTGGTCGGTGAAGAATGCTGGCGCGACGCGTAAAATGGCGGCCGATGTCACGAAGGTGGCCGGAACTGCATTTTCTTCGGCATTCCCGGCACGAGCGACAGCTCGTTACGTTGGTATCGCGGTTTAAACGGAAGAAGGTAAGAAGATTCTGCGATACAGCGTTGCTCTCCTTCTCTCGTTCTTCAGAATATTGGCCATGGAAATGCAAGAGCACGATCGCGAAAAAATCGTGGATGAAACGTGGCCGAAGACCTCGGTGACACGCGATGCCTAAGACGATTAAGGCCTGAAAGAAGGATTACGTCTTCTGTAATCGAGTTAGAACGCGTCGATAATACGAACAAGAAGATCCATCGACATTCTCCTCGCCAGTATTTCCACCTCAAACACGGCACGTTTAAACTTATTCGTAGATGATTTGGATTTTGCTGCGAGAACAAAAGTTAATCTCACACTCTCGAATAAATGTCACATTTCTTTAATATTCTTAATACTCGCGTTTCGAATCTTTCGTCGTTTCGACGTGTCCCCAGAAAATTGCGACAGACACGAATTGAAAAGACGACTCAAGGAGGTTTCAATGTTTCACGAATTTCCAGAATCGACGAAAAACACAGAAACACGGCCGAAGTTTACAATTGCATTTTGCATCGACAGGCATTGCGGTTTACAATTAAGGTCGCCGATTGAAAGCGGTCGAAACGGTTGAACCGATTAAATGGGATTTCGCGGTCTCCTGATAAAATCGTGGTTTTCGGCTATTTTCGTTCGGTACGCTAGACAATCGGTTCCGTATGGCTTCCGGTCATTATAGATGAATGGAAAAACTGATCCGATTTCGGAGGCCATCAGAATATGACATCAAACGCCGGAAAAGGCAGATGATGGAGGAGGCCGTTGATCAAGTTTCATCAGTCAGTTGCGGATATAATTAAAAAGTTGGTATCCAGGTAGAAAATTGTTTCGTCTGCTACATTTTGGACTTTAGATTCTAGATATTTTTTTTACACAGTATCCGTTTTAAATACTAAATATTAATAATAGTATGTACAAATACTTTGAAATCGTTGGACCGTAGAACTTTTTCGAAGAATGTTCTTAAATTACTAGTCCTGATGAGATCAGGCGAAAGAAATATTCTTAGAAATATAGGTTTCAGAAACAGGTTCATAATAGATATAAAAATAAAAATTTTCCTGCCAGAGGAAAAAAAAAAGTTCTCGACATTTGTAGCAAACACTGGCATTGAGTGCTATTCGATGAACAAGTACTCGAGCACAGAAATGGATTATCAATTAAATGTTCTAAAATCCCATGGAAATTTTGTTACACGGATTTTTAAATTCTCTACGAGAATACTATTTAAAAGTATAACACCTCTCTCTCCCTTTCATACGAAATATGTAGGAATTTTTTTTAAAAAGAAAAAACGAGATACAAGAATTTTTTCAAAAAAACGAAAAGAACCTCCCAATTAATTTCGATGCTCGGTTGATTCTCCTTTGCTAGCTAATAGGTCAGAAAGAATCGGTTTGCAGACTCGTGTCATCGTCTCGATATGCTCGATATGGCTGCGTGCGCATGAACGT